CCCCAAAACCCCAAAACCCCAAAACCCCAAAACCCCAAAACCCCTGTGAGTCACTGGGACGTTGAAAAGAGGTAAAATAAATGGAGACAGTTGATTTGTGAGGGAAATATTCTAGAAATTGGAGGAAGAAGAGGAGGGATGGAAGAGTGGGAGGAAGAAGGAGATTGAAGAGTAGGAGGTATGGATTATTACCATCCCTTAAACTATCAATTTCTTGTATAATAGTCCTACTTAAGCTTGCTACCAATTCTTTAATGTATCTCTCAGTTTTAGCTTCCGTATAAAATGTGTCATTCTGCCAATTTTCTTTGGATTACTAAGTAACCATCTAATGTGGCTACATCTGAGTTTTTAGGCTAATGAACACTCTATCTTCCAAAAGTTCTTAAGTCCAATCTCACAACTTGTTACTTTGAACTGGGAGTCAATATTTTACAATTATTTTCAATGACGCAATTAGATAATTTTACAGCCTTGGAATTTTGAGGAAACTTCAGCTAAAGATAGTGACATCATTATTATTCCCCACAAGTAACACTGTTTTAAGAGGCTGCATAGGACACTAACTTAATTTATGAATAAAATTAGTAGTTCAAGACAATTTCTGAAGTAAAAACTCGCTTTGAGGCTTCATTCAGACATTTTAAGGAGCAAATTATGCATTTGGCCACTCTCCCACAATTTTTAATAAAGGGATTGAAGTGGAGTGGTTTGCATTTGGCTAGAACAATATTGTGCTCCTGTGGCTGGTATGATTCATGTTAAAATTAATGAACTGGCCACACTGGGAACTTGCACATAAAATCCCATCCATGAACGTAGCAGGTCATTGCTAAGTTTAAAATTTTATTTATTGCAATGCTAAAAATTTGGGAAATTCCGAGAGAAAGGTAAAGAAGGTGACCATCCAAGACTGATAAGTTGACATCATAATTACTTCATTATCTAACACTCTGTGCTACTATTAAGTAACAAGATGTGTCGCAACAGTTAGGGATCATAAGTATCTTACATTTTTGCCAAATTCTGAAGTTACCTTAAATTTGAAATATTTGGTGATGATCAAACGACAGGGTTAAAAGAAGACCTAAGACGACCACTATATTCGAGAAAGTTAAGGAAGCTCCTTCGAAAACATTAGAATCATTAAATTTTTTATTTTTTGTTTGCGATAAACTAGATATTTCTTGGACCAGGATTAATGGAAGTTTACGAAAAAGAGAGATATACAGGCTAGATAGAGCTAATAAAGTTTAGGATCATCATCAGAGCTCAAATGGGAATATTTATATCTGAGTAAAAGTCCTCACTTTTATGATATCTTTTTAATATTATATCCAAAGAAAAATGGTTTGGAAATAAAAATGGAGACAGATTTGAGCGGAATATGTTAGATCAATAATTATTTATATGTCTTTTGTCTCATCTTTGCTACTGTATTCAGCCCAGCTTCCATCATACATTCTGACCTTGCCAAATCCAACTTCTTCAAATGCTGAGTATCCAATTCATGCTGTGACGCCACCGTGGCAATAAGCAATGGTCTCTTTATCTTTATCCAACCCAGCAGAGGCTACTAATTCATTGATTTGATCCTTCTCTTTTAGAAAGCCTTCTTGAGTATAGAACTCAGAGTATGGAATGTTAATTGCTCCAGGAATGTGGCCTTTCCCATTATGTTCTTTGCTATCATATTGATCTTCAGTCCTGACATCGACGATCTGAACGTCGCTTTCTAGATTAAAGATTAGTTAAGGACAAAGATATTTAGAAATCTCCCGAGTTCAAATCTGAACTCTCAAAGCTCGATAAGGTCAAATAAGTTTGAAGAGACATTGCATTGAAGATTAATTGTGGATACTTTAAATTAAAAAAAATCTTTATTGGAGCAGATCTTTCTACTCGGAGGGATAATTCCTGAAATTTTGAAAAGATGCCAGAGCGGATGCTATGCTATTCTCTAAAATTTCATACAGGGGCTAAGACATAAAGCAGATACATATTAAAGCCATTCTTGCACAAGGAAAGCCTGACACTTACTGCCGATCTTCTCAAGAACCTCTGTGTAATCAATCAGCATTTCCTCTTTTGGCTCTTTTGCTGTGAAGGTAGTACATTTTGTTGTTGTATAATCTATGGCAGACTTGTGGATATTAACAGGGTATCCTTTCTCATTCCACTCTCTAATGCCTCCATTAAGGATTCTGGTAGATGGATGACCATAATACTTCATGATGAACCATGCCTTTGCTGTAGAGATGCCATTGTAAAAGACAACTTCATTTGTCTCAAGAATATTTAACTTCTTCATCATTCTATTGAACAACACTGGAGAGGGAGTAGTGAACCTAAAGAAATGCTTAGTTAACTTTGAAGGTGGGAAGGCAAGCAAACATTTCTAACCACGAATAAAATTCCTGAATATCTCAGGCCCTATTATGATGCAGAACGTCAGCATAACGTAGACTTACAGATTTGGAGAATTTTCTGTGAATTCATGTAGGTCTAGGATGTTCGCATTTGGTAATGATTTAGTGTAGAAGTTCTTATGAGCAGATTCTCCCATTCCAACATATAGCAGCTTCAATCCAACACTCTTTTTCTCTGTGAGCATTCTGAATAGTGCATCCGACTTGATGAAAAGGTTCGACATCTCTTTAAAATAATTAATCTCTATATTTTTGAAAGATTCGGGGTTTTGGGGTTTTGGGGTTTTGGGGTTTTGGGGTTTTGGGG